ATTCGAAAGGCGCCCGGCGAGCGCCTCCGCGTCCGGCGAGGGCAGGGCCGCGCGTCGGATGCCGGCGGCACAATGCGGAGGAAGCGGAGAATTACAAAAGAACGCGCGGCAAGGAATGCCTGCCTCCGTTTACGCAACGCACGGCCCATTCGCGAGGACGTGGGCGACTGGCGCGTGAAATTGCGGTGAACACCTGCAAGTTAATGCCAAGTGCCTCTGCGGAATTTCAGTTTAAGCCTAACAATATTTTTAAACATTGATTTATTGAATAATAACAAGGTTAACCCTGAAGATTGAAATAGCTCAAGTTACTTCGCAGCTTTTCATAAATTCAGTAATTTACTCTGACAATCAACTTCGAAAACTACGAGAGCCATGGAGATAATGGTGGTGTTTAGAGTAATGAGAAGCAAAGAGTTTGCCGGTCCATTTCTTTTGTAGAAAACCCTGGCTCATGGCTCGCGAGGGCACCCCAACATCCACCCGCCAGTTATTCATAATACTCCTACCCTACGCATGTTTGACTTTCTTACTAGTAAAAGATGGCTAAACAGTTTTGTGTTCACGTTATTTTTCACAGTCTAAATGAAATAAACTATAATTTTTCCATGAAACGAGTAAAATATACGGAGAGCTAAAGTGTTAAGGCAATGCATGAATGTTTTAATTCGAACTCTGCTTTCAAAAACTGATTTATGTTTATCTCGATTCAAATAAAAACCGAGCAGAAAACTTGTCCATATTAATGCACTGAATTATATTAGGGTTGTTATTATTAGGAGACGAATTTTGATGACCAAAAACGTAGCCAAAATGATCAATAAAATGCTTTAAAATTCCTTAAAAACAAAGAAAAATTACGTAACAAAATTTGATGAAAACCACTTCAGATGAAGAACTTAAGCTATTGTGTATGTTATTGATGTAATGTAGGCTCCTTCCTTTTGTTTATGTTAATTCAGCCTCCAAACTTTTGGTTTGTGTCTGTTCTTCAAAAGGAAATCTGTCTTTATCGTGAAATCGGCCGAACTGACAATGACGCCGATTGGCGTCACAGGAACCAATCAAATTACATAGTACTCACAACAATATAAATGAGCGAAAAAATCAAATAGGCGCTTAGGAATTCTATGGTGAACATTTGTTGCACCTCGTAAATATTGTTTGAAGCCAATACCATTAAAATGATATTAAATCGATGAAATCAGCAAAAAATACGTAAGAATGAAAAAAAAATGATTTATAAGACGAAATCGACGAAAATGCATAATAATAATAATAATAATAATAATAATAATAATAAATGAGATATAAAAATGTGTCATTTCGTGTTGTCATAACATAAAATGATTTTTTATACTAAACGGCATTGTTCTCAACTGAAAAGAAAAAAGACGACATTTCATTAAAATCGGCTCCCTAATTATTTTGAAAGTGGAGTTATGAAAATCAGTTTTATCGAGGACACCGGTCAATATCAAAAATTGAGAAATGAAATCGTACGACTAAGATACATAAAACTAAAAGGTATTATCTGAATTAAAATATCAGTCATTGCACTCCCTCTAAACTAATAGCACATGAACATTTGCTTGTATCCCAACCATTAATGCTCATTTCCGACTTCAAGAAATCAAGAGGTTCTTCTGCACTTGATAGGGGATTTTTAGGCGACGTTTCAGCTACACGGACATTCCTTCAGCTAACATCCCGTCCACAAATTCAGTCGCATCCGAAGGAGAGAAATCGGGAAACCTCCCCGCACTCTCTCCCCGGGCCTCGGGCCAAGGGCTTCCACGCTCGATCTGCTCGCAGATTCTGGCATGGGGTCCCCGCACGCGCGCATTCCTGGCGGGCAGCCTCAAATTGCTTTCGGATGCGCTGGCGACACGCGCGGGACGTCACAACTCGCCGCGTGGTTACTGAGAAAGCCACGCATTGTGCTAAACGAATGCGTATGGCGTTGCGAAGGTAAGACCGCATTTCTACCTTATCAGCCCAAGAGGGCAAACAGTGTACTAAGGTTTTTCAAATCATTCGAATTTCATAGGCACAAAGTGTTGACTATTGTTGACATTATGTTCGACATCGATTCATTTTAAGATGGTACAGTACGGAACGTTATTCCTTTAGAAGATATTTAAAAAATATAGAACGATTACGAGCGTTGGGCAGTTACCACCGCATGATTACGCCTTCTGATAGAATAACATTGAAACATGCAAGATTTATTTTCCAATTAGTTGATAGTGAAAAGGCATGAGTTACAAAAAATTGTTTTTCCAAATTGAAATGTAATGTAGCACAAAAGCAAACTAAAAATACAGGGCAAAACTCAGATTCCATAAAATATTAAAAATTACATCGATTACGCAATATCATTTACAACACATGCCGTCTCCCTAGAGTTTATTTTGAAACGCAAATTTGGAATTAGGATCATTAAAAAATCAGAGATTCGAATTCAACAGCCATTTTAGACAAACCTTCAAGATGACCCAGAAACGCCCGGAAATCTCACTAGCTGCCAATGTCCATGCATAAGCTGCCACCAAACCTTTTGGCATCCCTCCCCAGCATCTTTTGCCCGGGGAAAGCTTTCGAACCGTTCTCACGATGGAATTTAGCATGCCCGCCACGTAACTCAGGACACGTGAAAACAAAGATTGATATTGACAGTAAAAAGAGACAAATGACTTCGTTAAAAGAAGAGACAGCGTCATATATCAATAGACTCTCAAGACAACATTCATTCGGACTCAGCTTCTGCGTAATTCTAAGGAAACAAGATGTGACAAATACTTTGAAACTCAAACAGGCAAAATGACGAACTGACGCAATGGAACTGTTTATTGAAAAACAATGTTCTGCGAACATACTTCAACCCCAGCAACGATTTCTCGCCATCACAAAGAACACGGCGAAA